CTTGAAAGCCATTTCAGTTTCATTGAAAACTACATCTCGACTGGTGATACACCTCCTGTGACCTGGCTCTAGGCACCATAGCCTATAAGCTTTCACTCCTTCAGGGTATCCCATAAACATGCATTTCAGAGCTCTAGGTTCGACCTTGTCTTGCCTAATGTGAGCATAGGCTACACAGCCAAATACTCTTAGTTTGTCGAGATCTGGTGGATGTCCCGACCAAACTTCTTCAGGTGTCTTCATATCTAACGCTGTCGAAGGACATCTGTTTATCAGATATGCTGCTGTCGAAACAGCCTCAGCCCAAAACACCTTCTTTAATCCCGCACTAGTCAACATTCATCTAACTCTCTCCAAAATAGTTCGATTAAACCTTTCAGCCAAACCATTTTGTTGTGGAGTACCTGCGGTAGTTCTGTGCCTTGCAATACCAGAGGCAACACAAAAACTGTCGAACGCCTCATTGCAAAACTCAAGGCCATTGTCGGTTCTCAACCTCTTTACCTTTCTGCCAGTTTGATTTTTGACAAGAGTCTTCCAACTTTTGAAATTCTCAAAAGTTTCATCCTTAGTCTTCTGGATGAATACCCATAACTTTCTGGAATAGTCATCTACTATGGATAGAAAATACTTTGCTCCTGAATGTGATGGACACCTTGCAGACCCCCAAAGATCAGCATGGATGTAATCAAGGGATCCATGTGTTCTTTGTTTGCCTTTGTTGAACTTCATTCTACAGGACTTTCCAAGTACACAGGGTTCACAAAACTTCAGCTTTTCGACTTTATCTTCACCAAGCAGATTTTGTTTCCCTAATTCAACCAGACCCCTTTCACTGACATGGCCCAATCTCATGTGCCAAATTTCTGTCTTCGACAAAGGTTTCGTGGATGCAACATTTGTCGAACCACTTACAACTTCAGCCTCAAGGGTATACAAGCCTTGTTTCTTCACGCCTCTCAAGACTTCCTTCGACCCTTTCATGACTCTCAGGATACTTTTCTCTCCTTGAAACACATATCCTTTCTTGTCGAATTCACCAAGAGAAATCAAATTTCTCTTCAAATCAGGTACATACCTGACTTCAGTCAACAATCTTATTGACTCATCATGGAGCTTGAATCTCACAGATCCAACGCCTGCAATCTTGCAAGCTTTGTTGTTTCCCAGCAATACAGATCCACCATCTTGATCACATAATTCCTCGAACAAGTCTTTGTTTGGAGTCATGTGCCAAGTGCATCCAGAATCCATAATCCACTCCTTCGACGAGTTGTTGCTTGAAACCACAAGAACATCAGATGATTCGAAATCATCTTGGATAATAGCTGCGTTGCCATTATCCTTACCTCCATGGTCTTTCAGGCGTTCAGGGCACACCTTTCTTGTGTGACCTACTTTCTTACAGTGATAGCATCTAATACCAGATGCGTCACCACTATAAGACTTCGACTGATTTTTACCTTTCCTCTTGTCGAATTTTCCTTTAACAGCCAAACCTTCACCAACCGTCGAAGGTTTATGCTCCTTACGTTCGTTCAAGTCCTTAGAGTACAAAGCTGATTGAACTTCTTCAAAGGTCAGGGACTCTCTTCCATACAAGAGGGTTTCTTTGAAGTGAGCATGTGATCTGGGCAAAGCGCACAACAATAACAGCGCTTGATCTTCATCATCAATCTTTACATCAATATTTTCAAGATCAAGAATCAGCTTGTTGAACATATCCAACTGCTCAGCCAACACTTTGTCTTCAATCATCTTGAATGAATACAAAGCTTGCTTTAGGTAGAGTCGATTTACCAGAGATTTGGTCATATACAAACTTTCAAGTTTCACCCATAACCCTGATGCCGTCGTCTCCTTTGATACCTGTCGAAGAACTTTATCACCAAGGCTCAACAAAATTGCGCTGTGTGCTTTCTCGATCATGGCCGTCTTCTCTCTTTCTGTTAACGCAGCGTCCATCGCCGTCGCTCCCTTCAACGCTTCCAAACAACCCTGCTGAACCAGTAGGGCTTTCATCTTCAAGCGCCATAGACCGAAATCATTCACTCCGGTGAACTTTTCAATCTCATACTTTGTTGAAGGCATCTTCTCCACGCTCACCGCACCAATTTGTTGTGAATTCAATGCCAATAACAAAGTATTGAATAAGGGAGGAATAAAGAACAAGGAAGAAGAAGAACACAAGAATTTGGTTATAACTGCTATTCTTTACTTTCTCTTAGAAAACAAGATTACAAGTTTACAAGAATAACAAATAACCCTCTCACCCTAAATTAGGATTTGCTGTGTGTTGCAATGATGAGAGACTAGTATGCTATTTATAATAAAACCTAACATACTAACTAATGGGCTTTTTCCACAAGGCCCATTATACAAGCTAACTTAATAAACAAGCTAACTTAACAAATTAGGGTTTAAACACTAAAACCTAATTTAACAAGCATTTTCGACAAATACATGCTAGACCCTTCTTCGACTACAGCATGTACTTCGATCATACTAGAGTTTGATCCAAAATCCCACAATAATATATGTCGTCTACTTACTATTATACATCCTTTTATATTGTTGTGATATCTCACCCTTTCTGTTGGAATGGTGCTTTATATACGGTATCGTGAAGATAGTCAAGAGTAGTCTGAGGCTGCAGAGGCCTAAAGAGGTTGCTCTTTGTTTTATTTTGAGTTGGCGTATTTGCTCTGATACGTAACACTAGGGGATGAACGTTTAGTTATTTTGTTAATTTTAAATGACTTGTTTGGTGTCTTTTGAACTCCTTATTACTCGAATAAGTGTTTATTTATCTTTGGATGATACTGATTTAATTTCAAGTATGATTATTTTTCCGCTACTTAATAAAAATGAAAGTTGAAGACCACGGTTTGTTATTTTTGGTTCATCCATAATTGTGTTATGTATCCTATACATATTATAAGTAGGTTTTGCATATTTTTGAAAATGTAGCATCCTAATTATATGTTAAATGTTTTAAAAATTACTCTGACTTTAATTATTATTCTTTGGAGGAATTTAGGTTGTTACTCTGATTTTAATTATTATCTCTTTTGCATATCAAGAATTGTTTATCCGGGTTGCATTATAAACATCTTGTATTCTTGTGATAGAGTGTCTAGTTTGGGTCTCTTTAATTCCATTGTACCTTTATAAGTCACTTCTAAAGTATCTCAATTTTTTTGTTTTGGTTTTTACAATTAAAAACACGATACAATTTGTTCATAACTAATGTCGATGTAACTATGTTCTTTTCCTTTTTAGCAAACAACACATTCTTCTTGTCATCATTGTTTCAAAAGCCTTTCACATTTGATTCTTCTACATTGTTTATTATTGTTGTAGGAATGAATGGACTATTTTTAACAACATCACACATTTTTTCTCCTTGAGCTTCTAAATACATTTGCATGCGACTTTTCCAGAAATCATATTATTCATCAATGAAACATAGAGGTTTGTTGTTGCCACCATCTGCAAAATCATAATTAGGGGAAATCATAATTTTTGGATCAAGGAGCAAGATACTTTAACTTTCTTTGATGCCAATTGTAAGTAGAAATTGTAACCTAAGAGAGGGTGAATTAACTTTTAGATATTTTTCTTGATTTTATTCAACCGTTCTTCCCTTTTTTTCCAGAATTATGTGTATGAACTTTGAATGAAAATGCAAAAAGAATAAAATACTAAAAATATATGAACACAAGATTTATACTAGTCTCTTCATGCCTTGAAAGATTTTTCACTATGTTACATCTTTGTACAAGTCTCACACTGTGACCTCTCTTACAATCTTCTAACATAAACACCAAACATATGGTGGATTTTGAATCTCCCTGAAACAAAGAATCTTTTCCAACACAAATAGAAAATGTACCACTGTCTATTTACAAAGAATCTTGAGAAAGAACACCACTCTTTTATATTACACACAACTTATCACCACACAATTTAATGATGAAGTCACAAGAAACAGTTAGAATAATTTGACAAAATATTATCTTGTTTTGAATCCAAGACTTTATCCTTGAATCTTCTCTTTCAATATGTTACAATCTCAAGTGCTCAGATTGTAATGGAAAACTCTTTTGAAATTATTTAAAATTTTCACAAAAATTTTCAATGGACGAGAATTATGAACACTAAGAAAGTGTTGGGTTGTTTATAAAAAAAATGTGAAAGTGGTTAAGAATTGTTCTCTGATGTCCAACATTATTTGTACATCCTAGAACACCTTTTTATAAAGATGCAATCAAAATCAATCATGAGTTTTTGCAGTGATTTAAAAAGTTTTTGTGGAAGAAAAAAATGCAATGAGTCGAATGTGTACTCATCTACAACACTTGTGGAGTCGAATACATATTGTGCAAAGTTCAAAAAATTTGAATTTTCAAAGCTTGTATTCAAATACATATCATGTGTATTCAAATAGATATTACACATTTTAGATTCTATCCGACATTTGTATTCGACTACACTATTTTTCTATTTGAAGACAAATTGCTAACTTTTTATTCATGTTTCACATCTGTATTTGATTACACAACAACATGTGTATTCAAATACACTTTTGAAATTTTGCAAAAATTATTCTTTTGAAACTTGGAACCTTGAATAGTCATGAATGCAAATGCAAGAAGAGATTAGGTGAATAGAAGATGAGTTTCTCTTGAGCAAATGAAAGTGCCAGGATTGGAATTGCAAAATGTGCCTTGATTCAGCTTATTTGATTGCGACTTCACTTTAGTCAACCGACCAAAGCATGTTGCAAATGATACTTGAAATGTTTTTCTCCTTAACACACAATGTCTTTGTACTTGAATTTATTACTTTGTCTTGAATATGTTTTGAAAATGTTAAAGAAAACGGAGATGCAATAGAAAACTGATAACAAAAAGTATTCACCTTGATTATTAGTCTGAGTTGTTTCGTGTGATTCTCCATGATCAACATCTTCCACTGTAGGTATGGTTATTTGGTCATCACCATATTCCTGCACACAATATCATCAAGTGTAAAGAGTTTTTTTATAATAAAAATTGTTATATATATGGCTATGTGAGCAAAAAATATATAAAGGGATACCTTTAAAATTGTATTGTCCGAGAGATTCAGACGTCGAAACTTTTTTGAAAACACCAATAGATTTGATAGTTGCTCGCAGACATTTTATTAGTTCAAGTATCACCGAAGAAGGAAATGTTATACGATATTTTTTGGGACACATCGCGACTAAACGTGGCAGATTGCGAAGAGTTAGAAATTTCAATTTCGGAAGATGAAGCAGAATCTTCATGTGATTTTGTTGATCAGGAGTGTCGCGTCCAAACATGTATTTCAATTTCGCACAACCTTCAATGTATAGCTCTTTCAGTTTTGGGAATATACTACCCCAATTATTGATGCCACTGTCATAATCTCCAAATTCTGTTATGTGTTTTAATTCATCACAATTCCTAATTGTCAAACTTTCCACCAACATTTTTGGAACGACAGATACGATAAATACCGATTTTATCACGGAGAACTGAGACACTTCAATCTTTCTAATATTGTTGTTAATTTTGAAATAAGCTCATTGTATTATTATGCTTTTGGAATGTACAAGACAATACTATATATACTGTTAAGTAACAAATCACCAAAGTTTAACTAAGCTGAATTATTTGCATCATGTAATAGCCCCCCTGTTTACCTTGGGTTTTGGTAAACAACCGCTGATCCTCCAAATAGTTACTTATTTGGTTACTCGCAGGATCGATCAGATTGATCCTATGGACATAGGTTGATTTTGAAGTTTGATTAAGGTGGATAAGGCTTTAAGTAAAATGTTTCAAGTAAATTGCATAAAGGAAAGGCTTGGTAAAATAAACAAGGCTTTAAAGTAAATGTTCGACAGGAATTTAAAGGAGAAAAGCAAGTAAAATACTGGAAAAGTAAATCACTTTAATTGATAAAAATTGGTGTTTCACACATACATTTCTCAACAATTCTTTCGCTCACACTGGGTACTTGAATCTAAATGAGTGACTATGTATATTTTGTGAACACACGCGAGAAACTACATGTCTACTCCTATTTATACTAAAACATTCCAAGTAACCGTCGGGCAGTTACACTGCTTCGAGATTAAGCCACTTGGCACGTTCTCCATGCTCGACGCTCCAGATCCTTGCACGTTTGCACGTAGTAACTGCTGGAAACCGTTTTCCCTCCAAAGCTTTGAATTTCAAACTGCTCCACTCTGGATCATCGAACACTTTCATCAAGAAACGTCTTCGACGAAAACTCCTTCGACGTCGAAGGCAATCAGCCTTCTTCCTTGGAAGAAATCTTCTAAGTATTTTGCCATCTTTCGACGGGCACTTCGACAGGCTTAGCCAGTCGAAAGCATCTTTCAGCTTTTAATGGTTGCCATCAATTAAAACAAAGGTGTCGAATTTAGGAGCCAACAAATTGCCCCCCAAGAATGCCTTATTTCGACTCTGAAAGAAAAAGGCATTCTTTGAAAACACCATTCGACACCTGTTTTTCCACGCTTAGTCACAAGTTAACTTGTGCACTTTTTGTTGCTTTTTACCAACTATTGGCAATCCCAAGAAACCATCATTGATTTGATCCTAGGACGTCACTTTCAGTACGGCGTGCAGTACCAAACATCACTTCAGAATTTGTCATTATGACAAATCCCAAAAACGAGGACGCACGCTGCGTCTCTCTGTTTCTGCAGAAACGGCCAAAACAACAGGATGCTGCCACGCGTCCCACTAATTCCTGCAGCATTAAATGACATTTAATGTCCTCGTTATTGGGAACTTCTCCCACTACTATAAATAGTAGTGAATATCCCATTGTGGGACTTTTTACGCAAACTAGCCCTCAAACTCCCTTAAAGAGGCGAAAGTTAACGAAGGACGCTTCTGTTCCTGCTCCTGCTCCTGAAGGTCGAACCGTCAGAATAAAGGTCGCTGTGAGAAAGCCTAGGCCACCTGCAGTGATCATCGAGGAGCCAACTGAGGAGGAACTGAACGCTCTTCTAACCAAGCCTGTCGAAAGTGACAATTCCAGCCCTGGGGCTGAAGTTAATCCACAGGTAATCTATTGGACCTTTCTCATAACTTAGGCATAGATACCAGTATTCGATTGTATCTCTTTCGACATCTGAGGATTTGTCTTCTTTCTCTTATTCAGGACACTACTGAAAGTTCCCCACCAAGGACTTCAGAAACTCTAGAATCTGCTGACCTTAGCAGGCCTCGGGAAAAGGATTTGGGCAATGACGAAGCCCATACTGAGAATGAGGCCAATGCTGAAACAGTGGAGAAGACAACAGAAGAAACCATGGTGGAGGCAACACAACCAGAAACGGTTCCTGTGGTGGACTTGTCGTCAGAAGAGAATCCTGAAGGAAGAGAGCAAGGCAATGGCGAAGAGAATCAAGATGCTGTTGACGAAGAGCACCAAGGTGGTACTGGCGAAGAACACCAGGGTGACGCTAGCGAAGAGCCACAAAATGACGCTGGCGAAGGGCCCCATGGTGACGTTAACGAAGAACCACAAGTCGACGCTAGTACCGCCTCAGTCCAAGTCGAAAAGCAACCAAACGAGGCACTCAACATTCAACCGCCTCAAGCCCAAGATAATACTGTGGCAAGGGTCACCTCCTCAAAGCACAGGTCAAAAGAGGACTTGGAAATCTTGAAACAAACTGACCCTGTCAGCTACCTTAATGCAATCGTCGAGAGTAAGAGTTCTTCTGACACTAGTCAGGAAATTCCTACTCTGTCGGGGAAATCTACTGAGACTTCTCCTCTTGATGATGCGTTGGCGAAGGTTAAGGCCCAGTTCTTCAAGAGAGATTTAATGAAGGCTTTAGAGGGGGACCCCACTGCTCCATCATGCTTAAAAGAGGTTTTGAATGCTGTTGACTTCGAAGCTGTAGCCCCAGAAATCTCAGACTTAATCATGGAATTACATTCTATGATTGATCAAGTCTCAGCGGATTACAGGCGCCAACGAACTTTTAACAGTCAGCTCGAAGTGCTGCATGGCAAAAGCTCATCTGCGTGGACTGCTGTCTCAGATTCGACTTCTCGAATTGCCGAGTTGTCGAAACAGAAAGCGTCTGCACAGGAAAGGGTCGATGCTATTGAGCGAGAGAATGTCTCCTTCCGAGCACAAATTGCAGAGATAGAGGCGAAGATAAACGCCAACACTGTACTTCAGGAGGAAATTCTTTCGACCATCCCAGACGCTGAGAGCCAGACTGAGATCAAGCAAGGCCTGGAATTCGCTGAGAGGGCTCAAAGCCTCGACGCCCAAATTGCCAAACTGGTGCAAGAAAAATCTTGGTGCAAAAAGAGGTTGGAGCTGCAGTATGCCAAGTATCTTCGACTCAAGAATTCTCTTTCCTTTTGATTGATTCTCTTTTGTAACCATCTTCTGTAATCGTTTTCGACAACAATTGCCATTTTGGCTGAAATTAATAAAAATTTCCATTTTGGCATTTTTATGGTTAATTTAGCTTGTTCTTTTATTATTTTATTTTTATCTCTTGAAGTATAGGCTTATATTTTTTCAAATATTTACCATTTACTCTCAAGAGCCTTTTATCACCACTTATCTCTTCGACTTCATAGGCTCCACCAGAAAAAGTTTGGATAACTCTGAAGGGTCCTTCCCATTTGGGTGACCATTTCCCCATGCTTCGATCCCGTCGATCCATGGGAAGAATTACCTTCCAAACTAAATCTTCAGGCAAAAATACCTTAGGTTTTACCTTTCTATTATAAGAGTCTTCTACTCTTTTCTTCTGAAGCCTGAGTAAGTCGAGAGCGTGTAATCTCTCTTCGTCTAAATCTACCAGTTCATCTAACATCATATTCCAATAAACCTCAGAAGGAATATCATAATGCCTCTGAACTCTTGCAGATTGAAGACAAATTTCAGCTGGCAATACTGCATCATGGCCAAAAGTTAGCCTATATGGTGTTGTACCAGTGGCTTCTTTTGGGGACGTTCGACAAGCCCATAAAATCTGGTCTAACGTCTTATGCCAATTCTTTGGTTTCTTCCCAACATGTTTCTTTATCAAGCCAATCACCACTTTGTTAGCTGCTTCGACTTGACCATTCGCCTGTGCATAGTAAGGCGTGGATGTTAGGAGTTTAAAACCTGTTTCCTGAGCAAATTCCTGCATCTTTCGACCAGTGAAAACTGAACCTTGGTCAGTTGTTATTGTCTCAGGGATTCCATACCTAAATATAATGTTCTTTTGAATGAATTCAATGACATTTTCTTGGTCTACATTGACTAAAGGGACAGCTTCGATCCACTTAGTAAAATAATCAATGCCTACCAATATGTATTTCTGACTCTTTGATGATGCTGGTCGAATCTCTCCAATAAGATCCAACGCCCATCCTCGAAAGGGCCAAGGCTTCACTATCGAGTGAAGTTCGCTTGCTGGTACATGCTGGATGCCTGTATGAACTTGACACTCTTGGCAACCTTTGGCGAACTCAACACAATCTTTCAGCATAGTGGGCCAATATAGTCCTTGTCGAAACAACAACCATTTCATCTTATGGCCTGCTTGGTGAGCCCCACATGCCCCAGCATGCGTAGTCGAAAGGGCTATGTATGCTTCAGTTTCACTTAAACATTTCAGCAACACCCCTTCAGACGTCTTCTTGAATAACTCATTACCCATGAGTACAAAACTCAACGCCCTGTATTTTGTTTTTCGTTCTGTCGGAGCTCCTGGATTTTGAAGATAGTCCACAATGGGTTTCCTCCAATCTTGCTCTGACAAATTATCAATGAACGAAATCTCGAAGTTTGAGTGATCAGCATAACCTAGCCTCGTCGATTCCAAGTCTGATGGTGATAAACAAGTTGCCTTTATCTTTTCTCGAACTTCGATTGCTCTTTGTAATCTCGTTTTTGAAATCTTATACCCTGATGCAATTTGTGCCAAGTCATTGGCTATTTGATTTTCGACTCTGGGTATGTGTCGAATATTGACACTTTCAAATTGTTTCAATAAACGATTTGCTATCACAAAGTACATAATGAGATTTTCTCTTATGCATTTATACTCCTTTGTGACTTGCTTGATGACTAACTCTGAGTCTCCCATTATTTCGACTCGAGTTGCCCCCAATTCCAACAATATTTCAAGGCCAGTAATTAGAGCTTCATACTCAGCCTCGTTGTTCGAACAAGAACCTTCGATTTGGTACTTGAACGTTGTTGGAATTTTATCTGGAGAAATAATCAAGACTCCTACTCCTGTTCCATTTTTATGGCTGGAACCATCGAAGTAGAATTTCCAAGGTTCTATCTCCACGTAATTAATATCCTCGACTTGAATTGAGTGGTCGACTATGAAGTCTGCAACCACTTGTCCTTTTACTGCCTTAAGAGGCATAAAGGTCAAGGAGTATTCAGTTAATGATAATGCCCACTTGCCAATTCGAC